GTGATACATGCCTGTAGTCCTAGCTCCTTGGGAGGCTGAGGTGGGAGGATTTCTTGAGCCCAAGAAATCTAGACTGCAGTGAGCTGTGATCACACCACTGCACTCCAGCCTGGGCAACAGAATGAGACTCTGTCTCAAAAAAAAAAAAGTAATATACACTGTAACATTATTTATAATTGCAAATATTGAAAACAATTAAATGTCTGTATGAAAAGAGTAGTTATCCACACAATAGAGTGCTACTCTGCAGATGTTAAAAAAAAAATCCCAGCACTTTGGAAGGCCAAAGTGGGTGGATCACCTGAGGTCAGGAGATGGAGACCATCCTGGCTAACACCATGAAACGCCATCTCTACTAAAAAATACAAAAAAATGAGCCAGGTGTGGTGGTGGGTGCCTGTAGTTCCAGCTACTCGGGAGGCTGAAGCAGGAGAATCGCTTGAACCTGGAAGGCAGAGGTTGTAGTGAGCCAAGATCACACGCCACTGCACTCCAGCCTGGGCAACAGAGCGAGACTCTGTCTCCAAAAAAAAAAAAAAAAAAAGGGTGTAGAAGATCTCTATAAACCAATTGCTTCCAATTAGGAGGGATTTGAAGGATATATTCTTAAGTGCAAGTGCAAAAAGGAAAATACAGGAGTATCTACAAGCTACTATCCTTAGTATAAGAAAAAAGGAGAAATAAAAAATTATTCACTTGTGCAAAAGACACAGGAAGTATAAACTAGAAATGAATGAGATTCTTCACCAGTAGGAGGGAGGTAGGAATGGGGTGGAAAGAATGAGATGTGGTTGAAATGGAATGGAAAGAATGGTGAGGGAGGGGTGATATTTCTCTGAGTGTAACTTTTTGTATAGTTCTGGTAACTATGTTAGTATTTCACATACTCAAAAAAAAATAAAATAAATGCAATAATAGTAGGGGCAAAAACTCTAAAAATGGAATATAAACAAGACAAAATGACAAAAAAGCAGACCATTATGTCCCACAAATTGCAAGGAACATACATCAAGCTTGAAGGGAAAGCAGTCACCTTTGGTATTTTCCCCCTGTACACCTTTCTCCTGCAGTGTACCGAGGGAAAATGCCAACATTCCAACAACTTTTCCCAAGAAAACCCACTGCCTCTTTACTCTCAACTCTTTTTAGACCCTCACGGTGAATACTGAACTAAATATTTCAAAAATTGTCTAGCTACATGCTCTGCAATGCCTCGTTATCAGATCCCTCTTTGGAACATAAGGTTCCTGCTATGTATAGTTTTATTTTGGCCTTTGTGCCACAGCTGTCATTGAAACAGAGAGAGTCTCCTTTTAATAACCTATTTAATAATCTATTCTATCAATCCATATGTTTTGTTTTGAAAATCTGATCATTCTGTCACAATAACATATTTTATTAAAAATCACCCTTTATGAGAAACTTGCAAAATCTGCCCATTCTTTTTTTTTTATTTACACGAGCAAGGATTTCAGAAATCAATATTTATTTATTTATTTTTTTTTTTTTGAGGTGAAGTCTGGCTCTGACGTGCAGTGGCGTGATCAAAGCTCACTGCAGCCTCCCAGGCTCAGGTGATCCTCCCACCTCTGCCTCCCAAGTAGCTGGGACTAAAGGTGCATGCCATCACATCCAGCTAATTTTTGTATTTTCTGTAGAGAGGGAGGTTTGTCATGTTGCCCAGGCTGGTCTTGAACTTGAGAGCTAAAGTGATCCTCCACCCACCTCAGCTGCCCAAAGAGCTGGGATTACAGGTCTGAGCCACCATACCTTGCCAGTAACTCTTATGTTTAATAATTTAAGAAACTTCCAGACTGTTTTCCAAAGTAACTTTGTCACTTTACGTTTCCACCAACAGTCAGCGAGGGTTTCAATTACTTCATACTCTTGCCAACATTCTGACTTGATTCCGGTCATCCTAGTGGGTGAGAAGTGGTATCTCAAAGTTTTGATTCCCATTATCCTGATGACTAATTATGTTGACCATTTAAAAAATGTGTTTACTGGCCATTTGCGTATCTTCCTTATGAAGAAGAAGTAATTTCTATTCAGATCCTTGGCCTAATTTTTAATTGAGTTGTTTGTCTTTTCATTGTTTTGTTGTGACTTTAATTGACCAGGTCTCCCTCTGTCACCCAGGCTGGAGTCAGTGGTCCAATCATAGCTCACTATAACCTTGAATTCTTGGGCCGAAAGGATCCTTCAGCGTCAGCCTACACACCTGTAGCTAGGACTACATGCACATGCCACACACTAGGTAATTAAAAAAAAAAAATTAAGAAACAAAGTCTCTCCATGCTGCCCAGACTGGTCTCAAACTCCTGACCTCAAGGGATCCTCCCACCTCATCCTCCCAAAGTGCTGGGAGGTGTAAGCCACTGCACCCAGCCCATTTTCTATATAATAATCTCTTTTCTTTTTTATTTTATTTTATTTTATTTTTTTTGAGATAGAGGCTCACTCTGTCACCAGGCACCAGGCTGGACTGCAGTGGTGCAATCTTGGCTCACTGCAATCTTCGCCTCCTGGGTTCAAGCAATTCTCCTGCCTCAGCCTCCCGAGTAGCTGGGACTACAGATGCGCACCACCACACCCAGCTAATTTTTGTATTTTTTAGTAGAGATGGAGTTTCACCATGTTGGCCAGGATGGTCTCCATCTCTTGACCTCGTGATCCACCTACCTCGGCTTCCCAAAGTGCTGGGATTACAGGTGTGAGCCACCGCGCCCAGCCTCTTTTCTGTTTTTTTTTTTTTTTTTTTTTTGAGATGGAGTCTCTGTCACCAGGCTGGAGTGCAGTGACGCAATCTCAGCTCACTGCAACCTCTACCTTCTGGGTTCAAGTGATTCTCCTGCCTCAGCCTCCAGAGCAGCTGAAACTGTAGCTGCGCACCACCATGTGCAGCATTTTTTTTTTTTTTGTATTTTTGTATTTTTAGTAGAGAGGGGTTTCACCATGTTGGCCAGGATGGTCTCGACCTCCTGATCTCGTGATCTGCCTGCCTTTGCCTCACAAAATGCTAGGATTACAAGCATGAGCCACTGCGTCCGGCCTCCATAATAATCTTTTTAAAGTACCAAAGTTGGCCAGGCGCAGTGGCTCATGCCTGTAATTCCAGCACTTTGGGAGGCTGAGGTGGGTGGATTATCTGAGGACAAGAGATTGAGACCATACTGGCCAACATGGTAAGACCCCCTCTCTACTAAATAATACAAAAATTAGCTGGGTGTGGTGGCACACGCCTATATTCCTAGCTACTCAGGAAGCTGAGGCAGGAGAATTGTTTGAATCCTGGAGTCAAAGTTTGCAGTGAGCCAAGATAGCGCTACTGCACTCCAGCCTGCCAACAGAGCGAGACTCCATCTCAAAAAAAAAAAAAAATTATTTGGTCATAGATATATGGGTTTATTTCTGGACTCTTAATTATTTTTTGTGAGATAGAGTCTCACTCTGTCACCCAGGCTGGAGTGCAGTGGCACACTTTCGGCTCATGGCAACCTCCACCTCCCAGTTTCAAGTGATTCTCCTGCCTCAGTCTCCTGGGTAGCTGGGACTACAGGCGTGCACCACCACATCTGGCTAATTTTTTTTTTTTTTTTTTTTTTTTTAGTAGAGACAGGGTTTCATTATGTTGGCCAGGCTGGTCTCGAACTCCTAACCTCAAGGGATCCACCTGCCTCAGCCTCCCAAAGTTCTGCGATTATAAGCATGAGCCACTGCACCCAGCCCTGGACTCTCAATTCTAGTCCATTGATTTGTATGTCTATCTTTGTACCAGTACCACAGTTCTGATTACCGTAGCTTTGTAGTGAGTTTTTGAAATTAGGAAGTATGAGTTCTCTCACTTTTTCTTTTTCAGAATTTTCTTGGTGGAGTAAGTTTTTTGTTTTGTTTTGTTTTTGAGACAGAGTCTTGCTTTGTCACCCAGGCTGGAGTACAATGGCGTGGTCTCAGCTCATTACAACCTCTGTGCCCCAGGTTCAAGCAATTCTCCTGCCTCAGCCTCTTGAGTAGCTGGAGTTACAGGTACCCGCCACCACGGCTGGCTAATTTTTGTACTTTTAATAGAAACAGTGTTTCACCATGTTGGCCAGGCTAGTCTCAAACTCCTGACCTTGTGATCTGCCCGCCTTACCCTCCCAAAGTGCTGGGATTACAGGCGTGAGCCACCCCACCTGGTAAGTTTTAATAATTGAAATTGATCACTTCTGGGATATACCTAATTTTTCATGAAGATATGAGAATGACAGCACAATTACATGTAATGATCAGAAAAAATAAAACAATTTCATGTGCATACCCAGTAAGTTAAGACTATATAACAAACCAGGTGCCGGGGGCGGTGGCTCATGCCTGTAATCCCAGCACTTTGGGAGGCCGAGGCAGGTGGATCACGAGGTCAAGAGATCGAGACCATCCTGGTCAACATGGTGAAACCCCATCTCTACTAAAACTACAAAAAATTAGCTGGGCATGGTGGCGTGTGCCTGTAATCCCAGCTACTCAGGAGGCTGAGGCAGGAGAATTGCCTGAACCCAGGAGGCGGAGGTTGCGGTGAGCCGAGATCATGCCATTGCACTCCAGCCTGGGTAACAAGAGTGAAACTCTGTCTCAAAAAAAAAAAAAAAACCAGGTACAATAAGTACTCTTGGAATATGAAGTAATCTTAGAGGAGGATTTTTACCTAACACAGAATTCAGATGTTTAAGACAGTTTTACCTGGATCTTAGGGGACAAGGAAGATCCACCTGAATTCTAGGTTGTATACATTTGCTCACGTTTTGCCTTGGAGTAATTCTCCATAATTTTATGCTTGTGTATATATGTATATCTTGTCAGTCATCTATATGAACTTTACAAGTTTTGTAACTGCTTCTTAAGTAAATCTTGCCAATATTTTTTTCAACCATTGGTGCCTTTTTGGTTTTCTACAATGTTATTAAGAAAACACATAAATATACACACAAACCAATAAGCCTGTTTTATCCTCCCTTGTCTAGGAATATGACAAATCTGAAGGTGTACCTGAGGAAGTAGCTGGAGCTGGACAGCAGTAACGAGGTGCAAGTCCCCATGGAAGATTCGAGCGTGTCCAGCAGTGTCGATGTGGACAAAGGCTTTGCCATTGCCTTTGTTGTTCTTCTGTTTCTGTTCCTAATAGTGATGATTTTTCGGTGTGCCAAGCTGGTGAAGAATCCCTACAAGGCCAGCTCCACAACCACAGAACCATCTCTGAGCTGAATGTAATAAACCTGGTAGACTCCCCCTTGCAAGAGATTTGAAATATGTTATACACACTTTATAGTGAAATATCTCCCTGTTTCTCAACCTTCTCACTCTTGCATTCGCAATGAGATGAAACACAAGCCAGTCTGTACTGTTCCTGTTCAGGGAAATGGCTAGTAAAGTGGGACAGACGTTGAATTTATTGGCTAGAATAAGGCCATGGGTTTTCATTCTTCAGTACCTAAGGTCCTGAGGGTAGGATAGTGGGCCATAATTTTATGATGTAATGTAACATGATCTCATCATACTTGGTAAGATATACCTGAAACTAGAAGCTGATCTAGAGGTGGCACACTTGAACAATCCCTTCAGTTATACAAATGTAGGATCAGCAGGAACAAAATGTCCCATAAGAAGAGTATAACAAGATTGTGCGTGAAGTTTTATAAAATCTGCTATTCTTAAGTGGGCAGAACTCTGTGGTAGAAGGGGACTAATTTGCTGTGGGTGAATTCCTTAATCTCTCTCATTCCAAATTTCCTCATCTATAAAATAATATGTAGGGGTTTGAATGAGGGCCCCAGAAAAGATATATCTGTGTCCTAACTCCTGGAATGTGACCTTATTTGGAAAAATAGTCTTTGTAAATATAATTAAGAATCTCAAGATAAATTCATCCTGAATTATCTAGATGAGTCTTAAATCCAATGACAATTGTTCTTATTAAAAATAAATAGGGCCGGGTGCGGTGACTCATGCCTGTAATCTTAGCACTTTGGGAGGCCAAGGTGGGTGGATCACCTGAGGTCAGGAGTTCAAGACCAGCCTGGCCATCATGGTGATATCCCATCTTACAAATAAATAAATAGAAGAGGAGAAGACACAGGGAGACAGAAAAAAAGGCCACATTGAACACACAGAGAGAAATTGGAATCACGCAGCCACAAGCCAAGGAATCCTTTCCTGGAACCATCAGAAACTAGAAGAGGGAAAAAAGGATTCTCCCCGAGATTCTGGTACCAATATGGTCTTACTAACACCTTGATTTTTTACTTCCAGCCTTCAGAACTATAGGAAAATAAATTTTTGTTGTTTTAAGGCACACGGGGTGGTAAGTTGTTATGGCAGTCATAGAAAATTAATATATAATATATGATGATGCAGATGATGGTCACAATTCTGATCTTTTTTTTATTATTATTTTTGAGACGGAGTTTCACTCTGTCGCCCAGGCTGGAGTGCAGTGGCACGATCCCAGCTTACTGCAACCTCTGCCTCCCAGGTTCAAGCAATTCTCCTGCCTCAGCCTCCCAAGTAGCTGGAAATGACAGGCACCCGCCACCACGCCCAGCTAATTTTTGTATTTTTAGTAGAGACGAGGTTTTACTAGGTTGGCCAGGCAGGCCTCAAACACCTGACCTCAAGTGATCCACCCGCCTCAGCCTCCTAAAGTGCTAGGATTATAGACATGAACCACTGCGCCCAGCCTCCAGGGATCTTTTAAGAGCAAAGGGAAGAAAATCATAGCCCCTACTCTCCAAAGTCTGAAGTTACAGAACTCTGATAGAGCGGTCTATGAGCCATCTTGCAGGGAAGCCTACAAAAGAATTCACTAAAAAGAAAGGGAGCACCTAAATTGCTAAACAAGACTCAGCACGGGTTTGGCTGAAAAGGATTGGTTTTAGCACAGCAGGTGATGGAGAATCAAAGCCCTCACATTCAGCCACAATGGCCTAATATTCAAGTCAAGAGTAACCTAGCATATGAGTATAAATTGAGAGCCATAACCTTGGAATCTAACTGGGAGGGCATCACTTGAGCTTATGCAGGGACTTGGACCAGCAAGCAGCCACTTCAGTGGAGACATGTATCCATGGGACCATGCTGGACCGGGTTTTAACAGCAATACCACATGATACAGAGACACAACTCTAGCCATGCACTGTTAGCAGAGACCTGGTAATTGGTCTGTTTCGGACTCCTGGATGTGGTACTGCTCCCTTCTTTAGCTTGAGTAGGCCTCCAGGATTCTTTGAAAATGGAGACAGGAGAATCAAACCCTTCACCAGAAGATACTAGACTTTGTCTGCACCACAACAAGGTACTGTATTATATTGGTTAAGCTGGCAGGGAAGTAAAGATAGGATGTGGGGAGGAGGACAAGAGAGATACATGATTTGATTTGATAAAAAGAAACTCAGGGCAAGGTGCAGATCAGGTGAACACCAGATTAGGATTGATGTCAGCTATGTTGGTTTAGTGTGGAAAAGTAAAAATAAAAATAAAGACCGGGCGCAGTGGCTCATGCCTGTAATCCCTGCACTTTGGGAGGCCGAGGTGGGTGGATCACCTGAGGTGATGAGAGTTTGAGAGTAGCCTGGCCAACATGGTGAAACCCCATCTCTACAAAAAATATAAAAATTAGCCAGGCATGGTGGCAGGCACCCGTAATCCCAGCTACTTGGGAGGCTGAAGCAGGAGAATTGCTTGAACCCAGGGGGCTGAGGTTGCAGTGAGCTGAGATCATGCCACTGCACTCCAGCCTGGGCCACAAAGTGAGACTCCATCTCAAAAAAAAAATAAATAATAATAATAATAGGCCGGGCGCGGTGGCTCAAGCCTGTAATCCCAGCACTTTGGGAGGCCGAGGCGGGTGGATCACGAGGTCAAGAGATCGAGACCATCCTGGTCAATATGGTGAAACCCCGTCTCTACTAAAAATACAAAAAAAATTGGCTGGGCATGGTGGCGCGTGCCTGTAATCCCAGCTACCCAGGAGGCTGAGGCAGGAGAATTGCCTGAACCCAGGAGACGGAGGTTGCGGTGAGCCGAGATCGCGCCATTGCACTCCAGCCTGGGTAACAAGAGCGAAAACTCCGTCACACAAAAAAAATAATAATAATAATAATAATAATAATAATATTGTAGACTTGGCATGCTGGCTCACAGCTGTAATCCCAGTACTTCATGAGGCTGAGGAGGGAGAATCACCTGAGGCCAAGAGTTTGAGAGCACCCTGGGCAATATAACAAGACCCTAAGACCCCATTTCTAGTGGCATGTGCCTTGGAGGAGGCTTAGGCAGGAGGATCCCTTGAGCCCAGGAATTTTTTTTTTTTTTTTAAGTTGGGGTTTCACCATGTTGGCCAGGATGGTCTCGATCTCCTGACCTCATGATCCACCAGCCTCTGCCTCCCATAGTGGCATGAGCCACCATGCCGGCCTGAACCTAGGAATTCAAGGTTATAATGAGCTAGAATTACATCACTACACTGTAGCCTGGGAGCCTGGGTGACAGAGTAAAACCTTGTCTCTAAAAAACAGAAAGAGTATTACTGAATTTACACAATTTTTGAATGAGTTGCCAAGATTTAAAACACACACTTCCATACAAAATATAGATTTTTAAGTTCACTTGAAAAATGGGCATATCTAGTAATACTGTATTGCACGAGACAAAAATTAGCTGAAGCTAAGTAACAACTGCTCCCTGCAGGTGAGATGTGGACTACCTAGGTGGTCAAGGTCCTCACCTGCCCCGCTTGGCTCCTTTACATTACTTTCCTGGTATCTGTAACCTTTGAGTTTTCAATCCCTAAAACGCTCTTTAGTCTTGATTCTGAGATCACTCAACAACCTTTAGATTATGATCTAATTTCCTTTGAGTCTATGTGCAAAGAAAGGATCATTTGGCATTCCAAGATATTGACCCCTGTTCTGATTTCTCAGTCAAGTATTAAGAAGGGTGTGGTTGTGAGCCAGGCACGGTGCCTCATGCCTGTAATCCCAGCACTTTGGGAGGTTGTGGCAGGCAGATCACTTGAGGTCAGGAGTTCGAGACCAGCCTGGCCAACATAGTAAAACCCCCATCTCTACTAAAAATACAAAAAATTAGTCAGGTGTGGTGATGCATGCCTGTAATCCCAGCTACTAGAGAGGCTGAGGCAGGAGCAGGAGAACTGCTCGAACCTGGGAGGCAAAGGTTATAGTGAGCTGAGATCATGCCACTGCACATCAGCCAGGGCAACAGAACAAGACACTGTCTCAAAATAAAAAAAGAAGTGTGTGGTCGTGGTTTTCCAACATATATAATGAATTATAGGAGTGAATATGCTGAGCACACCAACATCCAGTTGGTGTACCAGTTATTTATTACTTTATAGTAATAATAGCAATGAATTGTGTATTACAATAATTTGTAAATTTTAATAATGTGAGTCACTTATTCAGGGTCTGATCACTTCTGACTAGAGTTAGTCTTTAGAGCTGGGTGTGGTGGAATGCACTTGTAGTCCTAGCTACTTGGGAGGCTGAGGCAGGAGGATCTCTTGAGCCCGGGAGTTTGAGACCAGCCTGGCCAACATAGCAAGACTTTGTCTCAAAAAAGAAAAAAAAAATTCTGATTTGGTATATCTTGAGTGGGACCAGAAATTTAAAATTTCTAACAAGCTCCCTGACTGCACATTAAGTAGCAAGGCCTTAGAAGACACCTCCTGAGTCCCCTCTACTGATATCTACAGGAGTGACCACTTCACCTTTCTCAGGGCAATGAAGAAATCAGACTAGAATATGATGAGCCAAAATAGCACTATTAAACATTTCCCATTCCTCATTCTCCACCCCACCTGCTCCTAATAAATGGAACACTGAAAGGATGTAACTAGTAGAAATATAATTCAATCAGAGCAAAGATAAAGGGAAATTTTTTATTCATCCTATATCAAGGAGCACCAGATGTCAGGGGCAATATATCAGGCGATAGGGAAAACGAGGATGATTAAGACAGGATCTTAGCTTTGAGCTGTTCACAAACTAGCAGAGGAGACAGGCATACGGTGATAGCTCACAAGTGGCATGCACTAAAATAATGGAAGCACAGAGGCAGAAGTTAGGTCTTTAGAGGATGAGAGATGGTCTAGGACAGTGATTCTTAAATTCTGGGCTCAGGAGCAGTAGCATGGGCATTAATCACCTGGGAAAATGTTAGACATGAGGATTCTCAGAGTGCATCCAGACCCACTTCAGCAGTGGATGTGGGGAAGCAAGCTG